TAAACAACCCAAACATCCTAACCTAACTTTACTCCACATTTTCGGTATCTTAACCCCCTCTTTTCTCCCACCTGCTCCGCTCCAGCACAAAAAAGGCTTTAAAGGCCAAAAAACAGCTTTAGTGTTAAATAGAAAAACAACAACAGCTTCTATCTTTAGTCTATTGTGATCAAACTGTCACCTGCATAGGTAGATTACTGTTAAATAGAAAAAAACAACTTCTATCTTCAGTCTATTTTAAAGAAAAATAGGAAGAATATTGGATTTTTTTAGTTCAAAGTCTTTCTTTGGCCCCTCAACAACATATGAAGAAAAAAAAAACGAAATTATTTTGATCAAATTAGCGTGCAATAAGTCCAAAATAGACACAAAAAAACTAAATCCAAACACCCCAAACACCATATAACCGAACTATATAGTTTAAACCCCCTCTTTGCTGTAAGAATATTGGATTTTTTAGTCTGAAGTCTTTCTTTGGCCCCTCAACAACATATGAAGATAAAAAACAGAAATTATTTTTATCAAATTAGCGTGCAATAAGTCAAAACTATATGTTGGTGTAGTCTTCTACTGGCTGTTATCAGGTATATCTGAATGTGTACAACAGGGGTTTGAGCAAAGCTTTTACCACTGAATGATGCAGAGAGTCTCAGATCCAAAAGAAACCGGATCAGATATGACACATTTGGCATTATAGACATAAACAAATTCTCCAAACAGCCACAAAAATAAAAACAAAATCTAAAAAGCACAAAAAACAGCTTAAACCATTTAAAGCCTGATCCAATAAAAATAGGAAGAATATTGGATTTTTTTAGTCTGAAGTCTTTCTTTGGCCCCTCAACAATATATGAAGAAAAAAAAAACAGAAATTATTTTGATCAAATTAGCGTGCAATAAATCAAAAATGTATTTGAATGTGTACAACAGGGGGTTGAGCAAAGCTTTTACCATCCCCAAAAACAGCTTTAAAAGCCCCAAAAAACAGTTTTAAAAGCACAAAAAAGCTTTACCCTTTAAAGCTATTTTTTGGGGCTTTTAACAGCCTTTACTGGCTGTTATCAGGTCTATCTGAAGGTATACAACAGCAAAAAAACAAAATCTAAACACCCCAAACCCCCATAACCAAACTATAGTATATATAGTTTAAACCCCCTCTTTTGCTCCCACCTGCCAGAAAATATTCAAAAATAGACACAATAAAAAATAGACACAATAACAAAAATATCGAATCACCATATAACCAAACTATACTAGTATCTTAATCCCTCTTTTGCTCCCACCTGCTGCGCGCGCATCCTGCGCCCCGCTCCATCGGAGCTCCAGCTCCCCGGGGCCTGTCCGGGCCTGCTCCCCGGGCCCCGGTGCTCCTATCCCGGCCCCGGAGGGTGCCCCGGGGTGCCCCCCCCCCCGGAGCTCCTCCGGGATGAGGCTCTCCAGGCTCTCGTGCGCCTGCTGTCTGCGCAGCGCCACCTGCGCAGCCATCACGCGCTGCCTCTCGATGATGAGCACGCACTTGTCGCACGCGCAGTCCTTGAAGCGGCAGTAGCGTTTGTGGCCCTTCAGCCACGAGAGCACCCCGTGGTTCCGGCAGCGCGCGCACTTGGGCGTGCGCTGAAGGGGCGCGCGCTGCTGGGACACCGGGGCCCCCATGTACAGGTACGGGGGCCCGTAGCCGTTCATGGTGCCCGGTCAGGCATCCGTGGGAGGGTGGGTGGGAGTCAGGGGGAAATAATAGGGGTGGTGGGGTCCTCACCAAGCGCGTGAAGGGAGCACGAGACCCGTCTGATGCTCCTCAGACACCTCAGATACCTTAAGCACGCGCTTAAGAGGGCGAGTAACCAAAGTGGACACGCACGATAGGAGGAAATGGGCGTGACTAACTCCCCCAAGTCCCTCCCAGTAGGAGTTACAGGTCCTGAGACATTTTTGTTTCCCAGTGGAGACAAATGTCTACCATAAAATCTCTTTTTTTTGTTTCCTTTTGAAGTCCACGTGAACTTTATCCGTAGAAAAAACTACAATACACAAAAGAAACTAGAACAAAACCGGATTCAGGTTAAAAAAAAAGTCACTAGAGCTGCAGATTCCCACTGTCCGGGAGTCCCTGAACGCAGCATTAGAGTTTTATTCCGGAGCGTATTTTTATATTTAGCAGGTTTTGAAGGTGAATTTGAAAAAAAACACTAAAAAATGAGTGGCTTCTTTTTGATTTATTTCCTTTTTTCCCTACCACTTTATGCTTTTCATTATTAGTCTGACATAATAATGTTTAATAATGACATTATGACATAATAATGTTTTTACAGGTCCTGAGACATTTTTGTTTCCCAGTGGAAACAGATGTACAGGTACGGGGCCCGTAGCCGTTCATGGTGCCCGGTCAGGCATCCGTGGGTCAGTGGGGGGGGGGGAGTGAGCACGAGACCCGTCTGATACCTCAGATACCTTAAGCACGCGCTTAAAAGGGCGAGTAACCAAATAACCAAAGTGGACACGCGCGATAGGAGGAAATGGGCGTGACTACCTCCAACCCCAATGCCCCAAATCCCTCCCTTTAGGAGTTACAGGTCCTGAGACATTTTTGTTTCCCAGTGGAAACAAATGTCTTCCATAAAATCTATTTTTTTGTTTGTTTCCTTTTGAAGTCCACGTGAACTTTATCCATAAAAAGAAACGAAACTACAACAAATCGGGCAAAAAAAAGTCACTAGAGCTGCAGATTCCCACTGTCCGGGAGTCCCTGAACGCAGCATTAGAGTTTTACTTTTTTATGTTTAGCAGGTTTTGAAGGTGAATTTTACAAAAACAACAAAAAAAATGAACTTACAGCTGATTTGTCCCTGTTGGGCTTCCGTTAAGACAAACAGGATTAGTGGGTTCTTCTTTATTTATTTCCTTTTTTCCCACCACTTTATGCTTTTCAGTGTTAGTCTGACATAATAATGTTTAATAATTCACATGAAATTTGACATAAAAAAGCCATTTTTTAAACCTGCTCACACGTTTCTTTTTTTCCTTTTCCCACCACTTTATGCTTTTCATTATTAGTATGACATACTAATGTTTTTACAGGTCCTGAGACATTTTTGTTTCCCAGTGGAAACAAGTCTCTTCCATAAAATATCTTTTTTTGTTTGTTTCCTTCTGAAGTCCACGTGAACTTTATCCGTAGAAAAAAACTACACGTTTCTTATAGGAAACTACAACAAAACCGGAGTAAAAAAAAGTCAGTAGAGCTGCAGATTCCCACTGTCCGGGAGTCCCTGAACGCAGCATTAGAGTTTTACTCCGGAGCGTCTTTTTATATATATAATACTAATACTAATACTAATACTGACATTAGTATGTCAGTATTAGTATGACATACTAATGTTTTTTTTTATACCTTCTGGTTAATTTTTCCCTTTTTTCCCCACCACTTTATGCTTTTCAGTATTAGTATGACATACTAATAATTTATAATAATTCATATTGAATTTGACATTAAATATACATTTTTTTAATAGGCCATTTTTTATACCTGCTTGTTTCTTTTTTCCCTTTTTCCCACCACTTTATGCTTTTCAGTATTAGTATGACATAATAATGTTTTTACAGGTCCTGAGAAATGTTTGTTTCCCAGTGGAAACAAATCTCTTTCATAAAATCTATTTTTTTTTGTTTCCCTCTGAACTTTATCCGTAGAAAAACTAAAAGAAAGAGAGGAAACTAGAACAAAACCGGATTCAGGTTAAAAAAAAAGTCAGTAGAGCTGCAGATTCCCACCGTCCGGGAGTCCCTGAACGCAGCATTAGAGTTTTACTCCGGAGCGTCTTATTATATTTAGCAGGTTTTGAAGGTGGACTTTACAAAAAATACTAAGAAATGAGTGGCTTCTTCTTGATTTATTTCCTTTTTTTCCAACCACGTTATGGTTTTTAGTGTTAATCTGACATAATAATGTTTAATAATTCATATGAAATTTGAAATGAAAAAGCCATTTTTTAAACCTGCTTGTTTCTTTTTCCCTTTTTTCTCAACTCTTTATGCTTTTCAGTATTAGTATGACATAATAATGTTAAATAATTCACATAAAAAAGCATTTTTTTTAATAGGCTACCTGCTTGTTTCTTTTTTAAATATTTTTTTCCCACCACTTTTTGCTTTCCAGTATTAGTATGACATAATAATGTTTGATAATTCACATGAAATTTGACATAAAATACATTTTTTACACCTTCTCGTTTATTTTTTCCCTTTTTTCCCAACTCTTTATGCTTTTCAGTATTAGTATGACATACTAATATTTATTAATTCATATGAAATTTGACATAAAAAAGCCATTTTTTTATCTTTTTTTCCCACAACTTTTTGCTTTTCAGTATTAGCATGACATAATAATGTTAAATAATTAACATGAAATTATATTTTTTTGTATACCTGCTCACACTTTGTCTTTTTTTAAATAAGACAACTTGCCTTTTTAAAATCTTTTTTGGCCACCACTTTATGCTTTTCAGTATTAGTATACTAATGACTATTAATTTATATGAAATTTGACATAAAAAAGACATTGTTTATCTTTTTTTCCCACCACTTTCTGTTTTTCAGTATTAGTATGACATAATAATGTTAAATAATTCATATGAGATTTGACATAAACAATTTTTTATACCGGCTGGTATATTTTTTCCCTTTTTTCATCACTAATCTATATTTATTCATATGAAATTTTAAATGGAAAATACATTTTTTATACCTTCTCCTTTCTTTTTTCCCTTTTTTTCCCACCACTTTATGCTTTTCAGTATCAGTACGACATAATAATACTTAATAATTCACATGAAATTTGAATTTTTTGCATACCTCCTCACTTGTTTGTCTTTTTTTAAATAACAAACAGCAACAACCTTCTTCAGCAGAACGATTTCTGTGTGTTTCCGGCTCTTTCTGGAGCAGAAATCCAGACAAAAACCTCCTCCTAATTTCCCCCTAAACAAACCAACATAACTTAGACGATTATCCCTCCGCATGTGGAAAAAAAAAACCTGATTCGGACTAATAGAGGGCACTGAAACACGACACCAAACAGAGCCTCGGCCCGTTTTTTTGGGCCGTAAAAAAAAAGGTTTATTCAAGCAAATAATGGGATCTTGGTTGGAGAATGAGTGAACGGTAAAGTTCCCCACGTGGAGCCGTTTCCAGGGCTATTAAGCTTTTAATTGGAAAATAGCAAAGGGAAATTTTCAAGGTGACTAAGAGCCGTTGGGCAGTTTGTGCCGGACGAACGGATTCTGGGAGTGGGAGGCGTGATCAATTTATTCATGATAGAGACTCAAAACACAAACCGGAGTAAAAGTTTATATCCTGCGCTCTCTTCTTTGCTTTCGTCTTTAATTTGACGCCTTGTAAGTCAGAAATAATCATGTTTTATGCTCTGTGCAGCTCAGGGGAAAAGGTGTTTACACGTGTTGGAGTTTTACGTTGTAAAACGGGGTTTTATATCTGTGAAAGGCAAATTCAGATGACAAGGATGAATATCCAACTCCCCACATCCAAGTCGGCCATTTTGGTTAGGTCACCAATAGGAAGATCCCAGGCAAGAAACTCCCAATTGCTTCATGGCAATATAGACATTCATTTAAAAATAGTGAAATGAATCTTGCAAACACTGAATTTTAGTTTAACCAAAAAATACTTATTTCTCACAATTATGAAGGGTTAGGGTTAGGTTTAGGTTTAGGTTTAAGTTCAGGGTTAGGTTTAGGGTCAGGGTTAGGGTTAGGTTTAGGTTTAGGGTTAGGACATCGTTTATCTTCTGATTTCGTATAGACAGTAAAGTTTCCAGGGGAAAAGGTGTTTACACGTGTTGGAGTTTTACGTTGTAAAACGGGGTTTTATATCTGTGAAAGGCAAATTTATTTAGATGGAAACGGGACGTTTAAGGCCAAAAAGTTGTTGGGAAAAAGAAGGAAATTTGTAGTTTTTGTTTGTTTGTTTTTTTAACCATGAGGGTAAACAATAAGGGACAGGTCCTTTAAAAATAAAAACAGTCTCATTGGATAGTTGTCCACATTTTTAAAGGATTTCTGACTTTTCATTTGGTGAACTTTTAGGCTTAATATTGCTCTCAATGTTTCATAAATATAGATAGATAGATAGATAGATAGATAGATAGATAGATAGATAGATAGATAGATAGATAGATAGATAGATAGATAGATGGATAGATAGATAGATAGATAGATAGATAGATAGATAGATAGATAGATAGATAGATAGATAGATAGATAGAT